CCCAATTATCGTAGGTTAACTTTACTGATTTCACGTTAGAATACCGAATAATGTCTTTACTGTCAAACAAAGTTGATGGAATTCGAAAAAAAAACTCACTGGATCAAATTGTTCAATGACTCTATCGAGGTTACTTTCATTCCAAGAATTCCAAGAAATTAATGACATTCTAAACAAACATTAAGAAAAAAAAACATGGGTCGGTGAATCATGTCTCTTTAAGAGCGGAGGACTATGATGTACTTCGGGTTGGCTATAGTCAGTGTCGGGAGATAAGTAAAACAAAAAGTGACATTCTCATCCTTACCATCAATCTTTCAAAATATTTAATATCACCTCATATCTTTGATTTCTTTTCTTGTTAAAGGTAAATAATCAAAAAACAAAAAAAGAATTCAATGTTTTATCTTAGATTTTATAATATTTTTGGTAGCTTTTTTTCTGCTTTTTTTTCGTTCTTCTTGATAAACATGCCTCCATTTGTTTCAATGTTTTCATCGAATCATATTATGAATATGCAAATAAAACGGGCACATTTTGGAATCTGTATGTAAATTATCTGTGCCGAAATACTTTGAATTCGAGATATTTGCGACATCAACGACTCACTTTGAAGCAGTATTTTTAAAAAAATATATTATATTATGTTGTTCTTACAAAGAGATATAGAAAATTTATCTAAATAAAAAGTTCACATAGTGAGTTGATTAATAACATGTGTTCACTATAATATATGTATTAAATGAATATAAAATCTATCAGATAAACATTATAGAAAAATTAGTAGAACAATAAGTAAGATCAATCTATGATCACATGTCAATATATCGATGATATTATAGAAATATTAACATTTTTGAATTAGTATTTAAGAAGAAAAAACAATGTCTCTTTTATCTTTCAGCTGAACATTTCACTAATTTTCATCCTTAATCATAAGTTTCATGGATGGATGAAAAGATAAAATCACATAAAACATCAACAAAGAATTACTCTAATGTACATCTCTTTCATTAATTTTAATGACCCATATATGATGAGAATATATCTATTATCAAAAAAACAACAACAAATTCGACGTTTTAGTTTTCTGAAACGTTTTTTTCTATGCCTCATTCTAAGAAAAACGATAAAAATATGATTAAAATTGAGAATAAACTTAATACAACATATTATTATTAATATCATAAATAATTGGTGTTACTTCGATAGGACATATATATATATTGAAAATGAATATATGATTGAGTCTCTATCTAATAAGAACAAAAATAATATACAGTGTGTAAATTCTCTGATCACGAGTACATTCTTTGATTAAAACCTCTGACTAGAAATAAATTTCAATGCTTTTATTTATTATTTTGCTTATTAGAAAAAAAACTGAATAGATCAATAATGAATTAATGAAATAAATATATAATATAGAAATAAATAAAAATAATGATATTAGGATAATTTCATCATAATCCTAAACTTATAATCATATATTATTATCTAGACTATATTTACATCTATTTATCAACAATATTTATCCAACAAGAAAATAATGATTGAAAACAAGAAAAAATTATTTACAAACTATTCAACATTCTTTTTGTTAACAAATTTTTCAATAGTTTTCTAAGATAAAAACAACAATAGGTAAACAAAACATAATTTGATTCTAACTAGATGAGATTGATATAATTTTATCATCTATTATATTTATATTAACTAGAATATGTTAGTCAAGATAAATTTTTTAATTATATTATTAACAAATATAATTATTTATTATTAAGTTAAACACGATTATATTTCTATTGTTAATATGTTAAAACAAAATAATTAATATATATGACGATGATCTTGTTAAAATATATATTATGATTTAGTTAATATTGAGATTATTTTTGTTAACTTATTCTTGATGATATAAATATTTTTTAAACTAAGGTAAAACAATCAAAATGAAAATTGACTTGTTAATATTGTTGAAATATAAATTTAGTCGATTAAATTCAAACTTTAATATAGAAAAATCTTCTTCATATTATAAAAATATTTCCATTTTATTACAGATAAATATAATTCAATATTAATTATCATTTTTCATTTCTATTAGACATTAGAATAAATCTAATTCATCTAAAATATTTTTAATCTTGATTATCAATAACTAAATATAAAATAACAATACGATTTTTATCATTAATTTTTATAAATAAATTTAATAATTAATCTTATTGTAAATATGGTATTAATTTTAAATAAGAAAATAAGTTTTTTTTTTAAATATTATTTTATTTTATTTTCATAAATATACCTTCCAAATACAATTCAAACATGTTGTCACAGAGCCAAAATAAACTTCTCTCTCAACCTCACAAATCATTTATTTACTCAGAGTCTAAAAAAAGAAAAATATTATTCTATTATATTTGACAAAACTTTCAAAACAAAACATCAACACAATTAGTCGATTGATTTTCGATAATATTATCATTAATTAATATTTATTTGATGATTTGTTCATACATAAATATATACATTAGTTTTTAAAATTCTATTGAGATCAATATTCTTTATTTATTTATTAACTCAAGTTAATAGAGAAAGAAAAAGATTGATAATAAGAAAAATAAGAATTATTATTTATGATATTTGATCATAATTAAATGTTGATTTATAAACTTTTTTAATAATTCTGATCAATTTATTTAATAATTGCATTTGGAATAACCCATTACATGTTTTATAACGTCATTTAATGGCATATGATATGATGAATTATCACGAATTAACTAAATATTATTATTTTTTCACATATATTTATATTGAAAAATAAAATCTATATCTACACATTGTTGACTAATAAGATATCGAACATAAATTGATATTGTTTATGGAAATGTTAATTCATTTGTTCGTATAAGTCTTATTGTATCTTGTTGAATTTGACTATAAAATGATCATTTACCAACCAACAATCTTTATATAAGAAATATAATAATTATTTATCATTTCATATGTAAATACACCTAAACAGCAAAGATCTATTTTTTTCATCATATCAATATCCATTAAGCATTTCTCCTGATAAATAATCTAATCTATCACATAGAATTGTTCGTCTTTAATAGATAATATTTTTTTTTTCTTAACTATTAATTAAAACTAATTTATTTGTTTGATTACGATCAGCTGATCAACCAAAATCAGCTTTAATATAAAAAGAATAAAAATATAAGAAAAAATAAATAAATAAGCTAATTTAATAATTCCATTTACTAAAATAAGAATATATTCTGGTTTAATATCACTGAAATAAACAACAACTAATTAAAATAATTTTAATTATTTAAATATACTAATAAATTATTTGTTTTCTATGAAGATATTATAATCCATTAGAAACTTGTTAACCATACCAAAACAAAACACAAAACAACAAACAACATTTCATATTAATAAATAAGATATATTTACTCCAACAGCTTCATTTTATTGTAGAATTTTATCTTTTTTGCATATGTCTACTATATAATTGACCACCAGGTGAATATTCAAATAATAAATATATTCGTTGATCATCATGAAAAAAAATTCATAAAGACATCATAGATTTCGATGTCTTATTAAATTAATGAAAATAAAATAAAATTCAATATAAGAAAAATCTAAAATATACTTAAGACAACTTTGAATTGATATTTCACTTATTAATTGGGTTCTTTTTCAGAATACACACACCCTATGCACACATTGGCTGGCACGACAATGAGTGTGGATGAAGGGGTGTGCGTATCCTGAAGAAGTACCTAATTCGTATATGTTACAAGAGAAACGATAGAACCATTGATTGAGTTTTATCTTTGTTTCGAGCCTTCGAATACTATTGATCAATGAAATTAAAGTGCGCTACATTCTACTTAAATATAAATGAACTAAAATGTTTTTTTTTCTTTTTAAGTAAATTTATCTTGGTAATCAAACGTGAAAAGGAATATATTTTAAAATAATGTATTTATTGAAAAATACAATGAAGATTGAATGTTGATTGTGAGAGGAGTATTAGTATTAGTATTAGAATAGAATCTATTGATAGATATAGATGAGTACTCATTGTATTCCAATATTTGTAATGTTCCCTATTGGCGGAAAGTCGCACAAATAGAACACAAGGAAAGAATACATACCAAAAAAAAATGATTTATTAGATGACGAGAAATAATAAATATCATCACAACGACTCGATTTAAGGTAAAAAAAAATGATCCGTAATTAAGTATAATAGTTAAAGTTGAAGAAACAAAAAAAAATTCATTAGCTATCATTAAAAATTCTGATTGTAGTTTAGATTTTATCTAATTGGAATTAAAACATAAATCGATTTCATGAATATCATATTTTTCTTTCTCTTGGAAGGTATATCGTACTAATAGGTTTATATAAATTATTATCAATGGAATATTGAGAGATGCACGAGACATCATAAAAATCTTACATAAAACAATCTTCCCGTTAATATATATATCAGTTAGCAAAATGAGAATATTTATTTAAAATTTGATAGAGTAACAAATGATAGAATTAGGAAACCAAAGTTGCTATGATATGTGTCAATATTAGCAAAGTATTTTCAAGAATAATGACTAGCTACAGAAAACTTTGATTATCACAAATCATTTGTTGAGGGACAATGATCTATTCAATGGATAGAATAGGACATTGTTTAGTGGTTTTTATAAACAAGGAACTAAGATGATAAAGACATTTACGAAATTTGTACTAGGGAATTTCGAGAGACCTTAACCTGTTCAATTGATGAATAAGTTAATTTTCTACTAAGTAGTGTTGATGAAACTGTTTTTAAGTACTGAGAGATATATAGTGGACACTATTTTCAAAGTTGTTTATTTCGATGATGAGCGCCGTCTATATTCTGGTGTCACAATTTTCTTGGTCAGTGAACCAATAGAAACAGGATAATGATTGTGGCGATTCTTTGTTTTCGGATGTTTTTTTCATTTAATAAACTTTTCACAATGTAAGTAGAAGAATTCTTGATTAGGTTTTTATATAATAAAATACTTTGATCAAAACAAATATTTTCAAAAGACAGAATAAAAGTTCGTTTTTCTTAATTCTAGGTCAGACGCTCCGTCCGGAAAATTAGCACATCATAAAGCTGAATCATATGAATCTGTAAGTATTCTTTTTCAAAAATTCTCTTACATTACAGATTTCGAATGAGAATCATAATTGAACTACTCTTCACTTGAATCTCTTTCAAATATCGTCCTAATTTTTCTATTATCATCAACTTCCATTCGTTGTAGTTCGATAGTCTTCGCCTATGTTGATGAAAAATATCTCAATTTTTTATTTCTCAAAGTATTCAGATGATAAGAAATATCTGAAAATGAACTATAATCGGAGTTACGTTTCTCATAAATAGATTTATTTCGTGTAGACTTTCTTTTTCTTCCAGTATCTATTAAAATACTTTAGATATTTATTATTTTTCATGATTAAAGTTCTGCAAGACACAGTGTCGATCTATAAAGGTTTTGGAGGACGATGTGCATAGAACATAATCTATCAATCCATGATAGAAATTTCCATTGACATATGTAGCAAAGATTGAACACCACTATTTACTACTGATATTGATGAGATAACTTAGTGATGGGCCGAAACTCTAACGCGAAAAACGAAAGAACGAAAGGAAAATTTCTTACGACTATGACGTAAGTAAGACGTAATTTTCTTTCCTTCCTGTACGAAATTACGGAATAACATATATCTTGCTCGTCATTGGTAACACGTTATACCGTAATTTCGTACAGAAAGGAAAGAAAAATTACGTCTTCCTTACGTCATAGTCGCAAGAATTTTTTTTTCGTTCTTTCGTTTCTCTTACGTTCGTAACGTACAGTTTCGGCCCATCACTAAGATAACTAGATAGAATTAGATCATACTTATGGATTTTATTAACACGATGACGTTTCGTAAGAGTTGAGTGGCAGGGACTTCGTCAAAATATCATTAAATACAATGAACTACGTTGGAGTTACTGGTAATTCAATGAAATGCAATGTGATAACAGTTCTAATCAAGTAATATATGATCATCTATTATACTAAACATTTGCCGGCAATTCTATTTTCTTGATTAAGAAAATTTGAAATGGTTCTCGATTCGAAGAAACAAGTTCGAGATCCCGAAAAAGCGTTAGTTGCCCATTGTTAGTTATTGACATGATGAGATGTATTTAAAGAGAAAGTCTTTTGATCAGATTTCAACGTGCCTTAACGGAAAATAATCATTTCGAAGGAAGAAAAACGTATACTTAGGTTCCTTTGTATATGATTAATTTTTGTTCGCTCTGTTAGATAAAGTGAAATGGAATACGATGTACAGTTGAAGATATTTACCATTAAATTTTGAAAAACTTTCTTACAGGATCGGGTAGGACATACCTTACGGGAAAAAGGTTGCAAACAGATTAAGGCGTATGTTATTTAGTAGAGCTAATATGTTCTTTTAAAGAAAACAAAATACAATAAACATTTTTTTTCAATTAGATTCTTGAAATTATTGTATAATCAGCTGAAGTATAGAGTGAAAATTTGTAAAGAATGATCATGATTAAATATCGATTCTGTTATTCATAAAATTTTATCGTAATATCTTGTAGGTCATAGATCAATAATATGATATAGCTGCTCCATGAAAGAAAGAAACTTTGTTTTTTTTTAATATTTAGACTACAATAACGATATTTAACTTACCAAGATTCGTTAAACCAAAGCAACTGAAAGAGGCATTTGAAATTTTATTTGAAACAACTGTAAAAGAAGTTGAGATACCATTAGATATAGCAGATCATTCGTTTGGTGTTGCTTTTGTCGCCTTTGAAGATTCAGAAATAAAAGAAAAATTACTTGATTTACAAAGACAAGATCATTATATTTTCCTACGGTATGTTAACTTTAGTTTTGTTTAATTTGTCAAAAGAACACTATCTTGTTTTTTCATAGAACTGAATTGTGGAATGGTCCACTAATCATCAAGCCTTATCCATTTTTAAACATTTATACAGGGGAAGAAGAAGAAAAAATTGAGTAGGTCAATAGGAATTTTTTTAAGTAGGAATATAAACGAAAACTTTTTCTTCAAGGATTCTCATGGCGACGAATGATTCCGTTCATAAATTGGCACAACAAATTGGAAACATATATGTTACTAACGAACAACAATTAAATAAACAACTTAAACAAAACCTCGACGATTTGAAGGCAGAAAATATAGAAAAAGGTTGAATCACGGATTTTTTAATATATTATATATCATTGTTGATCCTTTTAGAAATTGAACGTCTTGAAAATGAAGCTAAAGAAAAAGAAGCTGAAGCTAAACAAAAAGAAGCTGAAGCACATGATGCCCGAGAAAAAATTAAAATACTTCGTCAATCATTGAAACGACCACTTTCAGATGATTGTAAGTATTGACGATAAAACATTTTAAAAGTATGTTGTTCATTATTTCTGTTTTTCTTTCTTAGGAAGAACTCGAAAAATTGATTATTATTATTGCTAGTCTTTAACTTGTCTGATCGTTTACTTAGTTATTGTTGAACTTCTATTTTTTTTTGTTCTCTATCCTATTGTTAACTTTAGCAATTGAATCAATCTTAAAGCCATAAAATCGAACATGAAATTCATTTCTTGATCGTTTGGGCTATATAAACATTTATTCATTTTGAACAACAAACTTTAACTATTACTTCACCAGTAACTTTGAATAAGCCAATCTATTATCAAAAAATTTTGATGAAAAAAAAAAGCTTTTTTTTTGTTTTGTCTCCTATCGATAACATTGCGATTCTATTTAATTATAATTAAATTCAATTCACTATAAAGCATTTCAGCAGCGTGTTCATTTAAATCAGATTGATTTGAATTATCAAGGTGATCATCAGGGTCAAGATCAACTATTATATCAAGTGCTTGACGATAATTGAAAGACAAAATCAATAAAGTTATCACAAAAAAAAAATAACATAGAGTAAAGATAAAAGAATAATTTATGAGACTTTTGATCAACTCTTTGAATTCGCTTTTGATTTAGTAGAATTAACAGCAGATGATAATGAATGAGCGTTCTTAATTATACATGAAGTTCTTGTTGAGACCAGAATAATAGTACCAACATAGAAAATATTTTAAAAAATGATATTTTAACTTATTTTATGGATCAATGGTACAATAGCAAAAATCAGAGTATTAATTACCGTTCGAGATGATTAAATGCTGAACGTTAAAATTTTTTTGATTTAAATATGAATTGTTCCAATGAGTTGTATCTTATAATAATAGACAAAACATAAATTTAAAACCTACACACAGAATGAATTCATGACATCCTACATCTATACTCAAATAATATCGAAACGGAACACTTTATACAGTCTGCTGAATATTTTACGAAGATGATGAGTTATAAAATAATTTTTTCGTACATTGTATTAGACAAACAAGATACTCAGTACTTTTTGTTTTGGTTGATGAAAATAGCAGATCGGTAATTGTTGTCATTCCTGAATTAATGAGCTCATACCTACACCGTCTTTAATTCTGATTTGCATATAAGTTAATCTTAGTTGACGATAAATAATGCAAGAAGCTATTGTCGGTGCCGGAATTAAGTGTAGGTTGGTGTAAGACGAATCTATTGAGAACGACAATAACTAGCGATCTACGCTTTTCATCAATCGAAACAGACTAACTTAAGACATGTTTTCATATAATATTATTCAAGATGAAGTCATTATCTAACCAACCACTTTGTTTTTGGAAATCTTTTCAAAAACAGTATAACAATATAATGTAGTTCCAATGAAATTTTCATTTTGACATGCATATTTGATAAAAGAACTTCAGCACTATAGTTCAAAATATAATGCAATTGTGTTGAGTTTTACATAAATTTTCTTACGTTTTGTCGAAATCGCTAGTTGTTTTGACGAAAATTTGAACAATAAATAATATTTGTTGTAAAATATGCTTGTTATGATTTTCGTTGTTTGACAATCCATTCAGTGGTCATCTTTTTGTTTAAATTCAATGAATTAGAAAGATTAGTGGCATTGAATTGTTATTGTTACATTATTTCCACCAGCTAACATTCGTAAAGTAGCAAGTTGTTCACCAGAAAAATGTAGATTTAATTGATCACAATTTAGTTGATAAGCGGAGGATATTTTTGAAACTTCTTCTATAGGTTGAGCATCTTGAAATTGTTTTGATATAGGTAAAACTGATTGATCCGTTTCATCTTCTCGCCATAAACGTCGTTGAAATATTGGTAATGCCCGGGCAGACAATGATGTCACTTTTTGTACTAATTTGGTATTAAAAAAAGTGTGTCTAATTTTCTATATAGTTTGTCCCCTTTGTACAGATTTTTCGCATCTAAATTTTTGATGGCAAAAAACGGCCACTTTTTTTTTCAAAAATAGTGACAAATTTTTGAGCGTTTAAACGCATTGAAAAA